TTTCACGTATCACTTGCATGTATCCATGCCTGTTGCTCAAGGTTCTAGCAGAGTACGATCTACAGCTGTGCGCCTGTAGTAAAAGAGACTCCTGTGTGCCTGTGTTCTTGTACGCCTTAGCGAGGGGATACACGCCCAGGTTACATCTCAGCGGGGGGGGGCGGGGGGAACGCCGTAGACGCCACCTCCCTCCTCTACATTCCTCGACTCCCACGGACTCCCACGGCCCAGGGGCGCGCCCGGCCTCCTGGACGGACCTCAGCAGCGAAAGCGCTTGGCTGCAGCCCTGCTCTGCCCACTCTGTCCTCCCTCCCTCGGTCTCGCTCGGTTCTTACACCAAGCGTCGCCAGGTCCGCGGCCACGGCGGCAGCCACACGGTGACCCGGATGCCTCAAGCTTCGCGCCCGTCGCGAGCATCAACTTGTCGCACAGAAATGACAGATGGGTCTGGTACGGGACCCATACCAGATCGCAGTATGACATTACGTGACACGACCTGAAACTATAGCTATACCAGAAAGCTGCCGCTCATCTGCTTGGGCTTTTCGAAGCTCAGAGTCTACGCCCGAGCACAGAAGCCTCAAACTCCTAAAGTCATGAAGCTCCTTGTCTTTCGGAACCTATCGGGCCAGCTGCAGGTGAAAGGCGCGGCCCTGCAAGGCGAAAAAGATGCTAAACCTGAGATAGAGACGAACTGTTGAGTTTGGCTCATGTAGTCATTAGCACCTTTGAGACAGTGGCTGTCGAAGAAACGGCGCAACATGAACTTGTCTCCCTCCTACCGGTCCTACCGTCCGAACCATCACGGCCGACCAAAACAAGCAGCTGCGGCTGTGGAGGCGTGACGACGAAGGCATCCATCCGCCCAGCAGCTACCAAGACATGCAGGAGGACGCGCCGAAACTCCGGCAGGGCATGGTCTTGCACAAAGCGCTGCCGGTCAGGCGAAAGGACCTCGCAGCATACGGGATAGACCGTTACTGCGATGACTGCGGGTCCTTCGATATATTAAGCCCAGCTCCATATGCTAAGGCTGACTCGGAGACCCAAATGCCCTTCCCAAGGCACCTTCCTTGACACGAGGTATTCCAATTGCTCAATGTCTCGTCGTAACTGATGGGGCACGATCGTGAAGACATGCCTTGCACAGTTCGAGTGGGGACATGCGGGGGCAGCTGGGCTAGCAGCGAGTCCAGAGTTCTACGAGATGAAGTTCGCCGAAGCACTCGATGTCAGTCCATGGCGCCAGAGTGCCTGGAGTCGGGAGCCTCTCGATGGACTTGGCCTCCACGAACCTCTGGCGCAGAGCCTGCAAGGAGGCCTCTGGTCCTGGCTTCGCTGACTCAGAGGAAGGAGATCAAAGCTCTCAGCATTCTTTGACGTTTTCGGCGGGGTGTCACAGCCCATTTCACAGCGCCAACCCTCCGCAGATAAGAGAGTGCAAAAGACAGCCGTCCTGCCAGCGCACTACCGACACGGCTTGTGGCACAGCCCCCAAGCACCAGAACTGCAAAGCTCCTCTCGGCTCACAACAAGCTTGCGTTGAGGGAACTGTTGGCTCAACCCGCTCTCCCCTCGTTGACGCTGTTCGCCAAAACAGCTTCAGGTTCCTGTGTCAACGTTCCACATCCTGCGGTCCCGGATTTAAAGCTTTCATCCCAAAGTCTTGCGGTTCTTCGCAGCTAGAGCCCACAACACCTCCAAACTCGGAGGTACTCAAAATCAGTTGCAGGCCAGACCAGCCTCCGCACACGCTGGGCCCTTGCCCTGCGCCGAGATCCGCCCACCATGGCTACATGCTCGGCCCCTGTGTGGATCTATGTGGATCGGGGTTTAGGTCTTGCTGGTGTCTTCGCTTCTTGCTGAGCGAACTGGATTTTTCCGTGGCAGATTCAATGAAGATGCAGCCAGAGGCTGAAGAGCCTAACTGATGGCACCTGTATCCCTGCTCAATTTCAAGGTCTTTCCCAGACCCCGGCGCATCCGGGAACCCGCCACTGCGGCCAACGTCCAGGGCCAGGCCTCGGGAATGGCCTCAACTTGAGCCGCCGCTTGGAAGGGAACCCGCTTAAAGAGACGTCTTCTCGCAAGACCCCGCTGCAAAATCAGTGCTTCGGCCCGGGCAAGGCCAAGCGGGCAGAGCGAGCGGACACCGGCACCTGCGAGGCTTGGCCGAGGCCGTGGAACCTTTCTTTTGGCCTGGGGCTTCCGGCTTCCAGGCTCTAATGTCCAGTGCTTACGTGGGGCCCCTGTACCAACAAAAAACTATCCAAACGAGAACAGCCTGGACAATTGCAATGGAACTAGCGTGTAAATGTTTGTATGTATAAGTAGAAGTATTTGTGATTTCGGGAACCTTCCAAAAAAAGATCAGGCCGGAAAAACTTTAGATTATTGTGTAGCCCGAGAAGCAATTCTCTAAACCGAATAGACCGGAGGAACTTTGAATTATTGGTCCCCCAGACCGACAACTACGTGACATTACCAGCGGTCAGCGCCAGGCCTTGATCTCAGGCGATTCCTGTCAGCCGAAGAACATTTGCAGGCGAGAAGCAGCCAACCGAAGCATGTTTCTCCTTGCCGACGCATGTAGGTTTCCAACAGCTTGAAAAAAGCATACCAGACCCCCAAAGCCCAAGAAGCCACGCTGTACACGGCACCATCAGGCCTGCTGCTTGAAGAAGCCGTGAGGGGCCAGACCTTCAGAAGAGTTCTAGGACTCTAGGACTGAAGTTCGAGACCATGAGATCTCGGTCTCTAGAGGGCTCACAAGCTCAAGGGATTGCTCTGGTGCAGGCTTTCCCCCCTGCCACTCGCTATTCGCGAGCTCCCTGACAGCCTTCACTAAATCCGGGTTTGTGGGCCTGCCAGCTGAATCGCACCATCCACCACTCCCGGATGCAGCCAAAAGTGGTGATGAAACCCATCCTCCTCCAGTACGTGGGCTACTAGTCTGAACTCGTGTGGTTTCATGTGACGCAACTGTCAGACACGGGGTCCTCAGCACGGAGCACCCCCACCACGTGGCCGGCGCTGCTGCCCAGCCGCCGCACCGTGCGGAAGGAGGCGCCGAGGGTGTAACCCGCAGCATGGGCTTGTTCCTTCTCTGCGGGCATGTTGCTTAGGGCTTGGAGCATCCACGTGTCAGGGTTTCTCATTTCTCAGTGGTGTTGTGGAAACTGCAGTCGATAGTATGGTGTTGAGGTGCTCACAGCACTGCAACTACCAAGTTGTACCTTCACCTGAGTATTGAGGCATCCTATGTCAACCACACGGCAGTTCTGAAGCCTGATCCATAATTTCTGGAGGCTCAGAGCAGGACGTAGAACTTGTTGGCGTCCAGGCAGAGCGACTCCTACACGAATAGGCCGGCACATCCGGTACTGAGACCCGCCAAAACAGCTGGAAGATTTGAGGACCGCTCGGCACAATCGGAGCCTCACCGGAACAACTGCCTCAAGCTGGGGAGCAAACCCAAGCCTTAATCCTCATTAGCGGTATAGCCCCCGGCAGCAGGACATTCTCGAATCCAGTGAAAGCCCCTCACTGCCAAAGCGCAACGCAAAGCAGCCGATGGCGAAGGCCTCCACATTTTGCCAACGCCGCCTGTCACGGCGGGCCAGGGCTGCGGTAAGTGCTCAGTTCTGGCAATGGGACGAAACACATCAGAGATGGAGGGACTGGGCCGAGACCCTCGGAAGTCGTCAAACCAGCAATCGACCGACGTCACAGGCCCCGCCCATAGCCTCGGCACAACTACAGATCTGCAAATGTCCTTGGTGACCCTGCCACCACCGCCTCCCCTGGTTCCGTGGCCATGGGCCATTCTATTTCCTGTCTTGTCACGTCGGGGCAGGATCTGAATCAACTTCTGTAGACTGTGAATCTGGGGTCTTCACCCCTTGGCGGCTTGGGAAACCTGCTTGGAGCCTGGCACTTCCATCTCGCAGCACCACGTGCCAAACTCCCAAGATTGAAACCTAGACCCCGCAAACTCGTCACATGCCGAGAATCCGTGAACACTTACAACACCAGAACCATAACCCCAAAACCGATGCTCAAAGCCACTTGATGCGGTGCATCCGCAACCTCAGAGCCAAATACTACCGAGAACCCGATCTAACGCCAAACATTCCATATCATGCTTGCCTGACTTCTGCTGCATCTGCACACTCGTGACGAGGGATGGGCACTGCCTGTGACACTGCAGGCTCCGAAATTGCTTCGATATTTGCGATTCACATTTAGGGAAGCATTTTTCCCCAAACAATGCTTGCACAATGGGGTTCTTACGTTGAGGGTAAAAATTGGATGCGGGCCGCAAAAGCGCACGCGATGATGGGGCGGGACCTCCGTTTCAACGCTCTCTTTCCTGGCCTTTTGTGGGGGGGCACACTTAGGTTGCGGGCCGCAAAGTCGTGTGAGGCGCCTTGGCCTGTTCCGGGGGGACACCTCCGCTTGGACGCTCTCGCCTTCTTCTGGCCTCTTCCGGGGGGGCCCTTAGGTTGCGGGCCGCAAAGGCGCACGCGGGTGGGCGCCCCCTTCTGGCCTTTTCTGGCAGGCCCACTTGAGTGGCGGGCCGCACGCGGCGGGGCGCCCTCTTCTGGCCTCTTCCGGAACCATTTGGTTGCGGCCTGTTCTGGCCTTTTCCGGGGCCACTTACGTGCAGAAGCGCACGTGGTGGGGCGCCCTTTTCTGGCCTCTTCTGGGGAGCCCACTTAGGTTCGCAGCGCCCTCTTCTGGTTGCGGGCCGCAGAGGCGCACGAAGTGCATGGGGCGTTCTTCCGGCCTCTTCCGAAATAGGTTGCGGGCCGTAAAGGCCTCTTCTGGCCATGGCCCACTTAGGTTGCGGCCGCACAGCCCTCTTCTGGCCTCTTCCAAAAATAAACCCACTCAGGTTGCAGGCGCACGCGGTGGGGCGGCCTCTTCTGGCCTCTTCCGGGAGGCCCACTTGGGTTAGGATGATCATGTCTGGCCCTGCTCACTGTTTGGGGTCTACGCGGGCATAATGTAAACCCATGCAAAGACATGTTGCTGACATGTCAACCTTAAGCATGCACAGCCGAACTACATCTTTACCGCCTCCCCCGAACCCTCTACATGGATGGGGTCGCGCTGTCACCTGAGGCCGGTGCCAGAATAGTCAAGCAGTGGCTGATATGCATATAACTGTTCGTTCCCTCACCTGTAAACCGAAATTTCCTGGTCTTCGTCCCGTTTCACCGAAAAAGGTACTGGTTTCTATGTCAACTTTGACCAGTCGCTTGTGAAGATGGTGATAAATCGCACTGGTTTGTCCACAGCATTCACGGTGTTCTTGTTGGACGACCGGTTTAAAAGAAAAAAACCTCACAATTTCAATGACAGTTGCTTGCTCAAGTCACTCCTACCAGCACTCCCCCGCCTCCGCTACATGGGGTCGTGCTGACCACATGACTGCACAAGACAGCGCTGACATGTAGACATGCAGCATGCAAAGCACGTAGGGGCAGAAAGCGATCCACCTGGATAGAGTCCGACATGCTTTCGAGGATGCAGCTGCGCTACAACGTCGTAAAGCACACACACACACAGTCTACGAGCCACAACATACCGACAATCGATCGTAAAGGCAGGTCGTCACTGGATCCTGATTTCGGACTACCTGGTTTCAACTGTAAAGTCATTCGAATAAGTCATCTTTCATAACCTGAAAATCGACCGCGGAAAGTCAGAGGATGCCGGTAAAAACAAATTATCGTCGCTGGAAAATCAGGAAAGTCAAGAGCTTCTTCGTTGAATCATTGTGAAATCAGGATGGTAAGGGCACCCCCCCGACTCAGCTGGCGCTCAGAGGCACGCCATACTGAAACACACTTTCGTCAGATCCGTTGATCTGGAATGTCGTCGGTGATGTGGCTCGACTGCACTGTTCTTGTGTTCTGTTTCATCTGCTTTTCTTGCTCCGATCTTTTTCCTTCTTGATGGGGCTCAAGGCCTTCTAGTGTACATAATTGCAAGCACGTTGCACTGATCAATCGGACGTGTAACTGCTCATCAGAGAAGCTTGACTGATCAAACATGCAACTGCTCGACATAACATCGAAAACATCTCTGTCTTACTATAAGAAGTTTAAAGGTATGTACGTTTTCAGGACGTCTTCCGAGAATATCAACATGTGCAAAGGCCCTCTTCGTTGGGCTGCACATTTCCAAGCACAAGACAGCACTGGCATTTCGAGCATGCACAGCCCAACTACATCTCTAGCTAACCCTTTGGAACAGGGATGACACACGCACACGGGCTTCTGTTATAAATGGCGACCGCAACATGCGAATGTCTGCTGCACATGCAATTAAAGTCACACACGCTTCTGTAACTCTAAGGCGTGTATTCAACTCCATCCTGAACCCGAAAGCCAACTCGCCAAAGTTGCCTGCACCCAGGCTTCACAATGTCTGAGAACTCGAGGCTCCTCGCACTTCAGGACTGGTGCAGGAGACTACGTCGTGCTCTGGAAGATGCATACTGATGATGTCGCAGGATGAAGGTTGATGATTTAGCTGCTTGGCGACAGCAAGGGCCTAGGTTGGGCTTCCGGGTTTCCCACAACTTACGGACTCCAGCCTTTAGCGATTTTGTCAGCTCCAGCATTACGCTGCTATCGAATTCAAAAGTCCAGACTCCCCTGGATGAGGTCGAAATCTCGATGATTGATTTTTCGAACCCTTGGAATCACCTGGCCCATGATGAAGCTCCAGCACGTGCTTTTCGAACCCACTGCCTGCGCTTTCCGGCAGTAGGCGTCGTTGACTTCGATTTAAGGGGTGCCCCAAGGTCTTTACAGACGAGGTCCGGTAGATGTGCCGTCAGGACAACGAAAGGGCTTTCATCTGCAGTGAGGCTCCAAACGGAGTGCAGAAAGCACGCGACACGTTCGTCAATCAGTTAGGCTCCAGCAGCCGCCCGGAGATGCTGAGAGGCACCGGTCTTGTTCGAGACGAGACAGCAGTCGCGCCTGCTGAGTTTTGCTCAGTCAAGGAATTGCTCTGGCGGTCTCCGACCGCAGCACGAGCTACAGCAACGGCCATCGCAACAGCTGCAGACAGCTGTCGCAAGGGTCTATCTACACAACAATGTTACAAGGCAAGTCTTGTCTGGTGCCAAGCTTGCAAACTCTCATAGAGGATGGTGCTTCTGCTGCTCCTGCGCTGCATTGGCGACTAGAGCAGGTTGGTCTACCCGATGCTGCCATGAGAGGCGAGCCATTGTAACGTTCGTCTTTTGCGAATCGCTGCCGTCAGGCTGTCAGGAATCATTAACTAAGCAGCGGAAGCCAGGCGAAAGAAGCCGAAGGCTGCTGAAGGGTACCCCAATGGCTAGACCCTTGATTAAAGCTTGCATCCCTGCACCTCCAAACCCAAACAGCCAGGTACACTTCTCGCGCTCAGGTCGCGTTGGGAGAGGTGCCAAACCTGCCCGAAAAACGAAGAATCGAAGCAGGGAGCAAAGCTGGGATGCAGTGTGCAGCCTAGGTATCAACCTTGGGGGCCTTGTGTTGTCTCCCGATGTAGATGTAAACAGCATCGATTCTTGTTTCACTTAGGAAAGAGGCGACCCGGTTTTGGATTGATGCGATTAGGGGCGAAACAAGCATTTCATTTGTCAGATGTACTTTATTTGCCGGTGCGTGCCAGGGGTTGGAATCTAGCTGTTTGAGTTTGTTGAGTGTGCTTGTTGTGTGGATGCGTGTTAGCCCGACAGGAGTGCTTGTTCTAGGACTCATGCGATGTTGCGACATGTGCACATGTCGCGGTCCCCGTTTCAGACCGAAGGATACTCGTAAGTAATTAGACGGACCGCAGTGACCTGGGCCGTTCAACCCCGGTGCCCCTGCTTTGCATCGAGGCCCATGGACCTCTTCCACAAGACTCGCTGTCCACAGAGAGGCGGGCTGAAAGGTCTAAGTCCTAGTCTTACGTCGAATTCCTCTAATTGCAAGGTTGGCACAAGGACTGGCATTGCAAAACTCCATCGCCATCCAAGCACGTGTTGACACACCCTTTCCCGAACCCTACGGCCCTACGAACCTTTGCTTGCCGGGCTCGGGGCCTTGCAACTCAGCTCTGCGATTTAAGAGTTTCTGTCCGTGGCCGTGGCGGCGTCTTCCTGGCGAGGCCGAGACAACTTCAGGGCTTGGCCCCAGCCGGTCCGCTCAGAAGTCTAAACAACTCTCGACCATGGCAGGACCGCTGTCACAGTATGCTCGAAGCAACGGCATGTCTACATTGTACCCAGCGTCAACGACTCGAGCGCCAGCTTTCGGTGCTCCTCCACGGGAACTACGTCTCCGGATGCAGGCTTGGAGAGAGGGTCGGGGGTTGTCCGGCAGTTCAGGCTGAAAAACCAGCTAAAGCTGATACATTGTTGACGCCCTGCATCTCGCACACGAACGACTTGAAAGGACTGCAGGCTGTGCAAGCTTCATCCCTGGCACCTCACCTCAGGAAAGCCCTACGAGTACACAGAAGGTGGCTCATGAAATCGCTGACTCGGCCGAGACAGGCCACCAACGGCAGATGGGTGTCCTCCACGGTCAATGCCTCGCAACACGAGCAGGGTAGCCTTTTTCCGTTTGCAGGGTGGCTTTCGAGACGAAGCACTGAGGGTTCAGAGTTTGGAATAATGAATCAAACAAACCTCCTCAGGAGGTCCTGCCACAAATTCTGCCCAGTACTGCAAAAACCGCTGGCACAACTCTGACTCTAGTTACACATGTTGAAAGAAAGCGCTTCCAAGCTCGCTGCAAACTCCCGTCGCAAGCACCCAAGCCCCATAGGCCACACCGCAACCGAAGAGTTATCGCCGTCACACCCCCAGAATATAGCGAAGCATGGACCGCATGAGGCAACCCCCTGCATGTGCCCAATGCACCGGAACACCTGAGATCCAGGCCAAAGCCTCGGTCCGTTTCCGCAAGCCAGGTCTTGGCTGCAGCACCTCTCAGCGGTGGCATGTCTGGGGCTGAGCGAAAGTGTCGTGGCAAGGCCCCTGAGCCTGAACTCTCAAAAGGCACGTCCCAGAAAGTGTTGCTGCCTGGTTGATCTGCTGCTGCTGCAGCGGGTCCAGTTCTGCATGGTGCAGTGTCTCAGATGCACCCGTCGGAAGGCCATCGCGGCCTGGCTAGTGGGGCTTCACCGCCATCACGGATGCTGCAATGTTATACATGTTTGCCCAGGTCGTGCAAACCTGTACCAACGTGCGGCCGCAAGTTTCCGACACCGGCATCCATGGTCAGACTGGACAGGGGCAGAACATGTGACAGAAGTTGAAATCATCCTTGCTTGTCGCAGATCACCACGATCCACTATTCTGCGCGACACCAACCTGTTACAAAGAGCCCCATCGTGCCACTGAAAGACCGGCGATACGTGCCTTTGAGCCGAGCCGTTTTGATGTTGTCAACGAACATGTAACATGTCTTTCTTCCGAGCTCCCTGAGCATGCACCTTCATTTTTTTTTTGCGGCCATGACATCTCGAGGTGATGAACCACGATTGCTTTGCGCCGCCATCCAGCTCCCACGAGTTTTGGGGACCAGAGAGCTAGGTTCCACTCCCTGCTTCGCAGGTGTAGGATAAAGACCATGGTGAAAGGGTGATGGCGCCAGGCCTGTACGCCTCGAATAGTGTACTTGGAACTTCTCCGTTGACCTCTCTGGGCACATGGACCTCGCGAGCTAGCACCAGGCGATTCCTGCGGACTGCTGCCCTGAGCAGGACAGCGGCCGAGCTAGACCGCTTTTCGGCCTAGCTGGTAAACGGCCTGCCCCATTTGTTCTTATAGTGTTTCAGTGCGAATGTCAAGTTTCTACCTCTTGTTGATTCCGATTGCGCAACTGCCCGGACCATACAGTTACATGGCTCGGATCCTGGATGCAAGCATTTAGTCGGAATGAATACGTAGCTGCAAGCTTCCGCTGCTGGAGCATGCATGCGCGATTGCAGACTGCACATCAACCGGCATCAGTTGCAGCTTTGGCGGCTGCAGCAACTACCGGTTCGTCACCTGAGACAGTGCGAGCGATCCCATGCTGCAAGACACAGAGATTGAATTTAGAGTTTCGCTGAAAGCTTGTCCAGGACAGCGGGATTCAGAATTGAAGCATGTTAGGTCCGCAGTCTGGCGCCCGCAGGCTTCAGGATTCATTCGGCATTCTTGATGCTAGGGTGCCTGCAACATGCCATGAGGTTCTGAGACGTGGTGGAGCCCGAAAACATCAAGGGCACTTGCGCTGAAACTGGCACACACCAAGCGGCCTCCATCGTCCCACAAGCGACCATTCACGCGGGCGTGTTGGACCTCAAGAGCTTGGGTGGTTGTAGAGAGCGAAATTGGCAACTCCGTATGCTCCTCAGACCCCTGGGCCAAGAGGCCATGCAAGTCATCATCTCCAACGGGCTCGTGAAGCGAGTCTTCATTTTCTCGTTTGCATGCAGCCTTGGCGAGTAGAGATGGGGAAGGAGAGCGGACGAGTCGCAACGATCCCTTTGCCCAAGCGCTAACCAGGTGGCATCTCGATCAACATCGATATCTCCATGGGACCTGCGAGGAAATTCTTGCCCTCGGGGTCCTGGCAGTGGCTACCCAGAATCCTGGTGTATCGAACAATCCTTGTATCAAGTCCGAGCTCACCTTCTGAAAAGAGCCTCGGGCTGATGACTGAACAAATGACCGCTTGTCGGGGCGATAGGAATTACCGGCATCCATCGCTTCATTCTGATTGGAGGTCCCATGGACATACCAGCATACCCCACGGGCTTGTCTGTCCTTCATTGTGCAGTTTCGTCACTTTCGAGTCAAGTACAGCCTGAAGGCTGTTGATATACAGTGACATACAATGACCTACAAGGTGGGACATGCCGGTCAGCTGTAGCCGAGTGTAGCCTTTTTGTGGAGCTGACATCCTGGAAGCTGTACCTGCGATCCGAAAATGGGCTGAGCTTGCAAGGCTCGCCACATCCCAGGTGTCCTTGGAGAAGCGCCGGTCGGCTTTGCTGGGCTCCTGTGGCGGTCGTCGGGCATCTATCGCTCTTCAGGACCGTTCCGAACATGCGGCCAAAAACAGAAGGACTCAGAGCTGCCACATCAAATTCAGGATGGTGAGCTGGGAGCACTGCCACCCAGAAACGGCCAGATCGACCGATACCTACTGCTATTCCATGCTATTCCACTGCCTATGCCTGCCTCCTGCTCTGACCAATATTCATTCATCCTCCGGGCATTTTAACCCGCAGCTCGCCTGGTAGATCTTGCCCGCAGCAACTGTCTTGCGGATCGTCAAATGCCGGAAGGTCAGCTCCGCAGTCGACCTGCCAAAGTGCCGAAGTGCAGAAAGCTGCACTCCAAAACCAGTAAGACCTGAGCTGAACAAGCGGAATGCTGCCTGCCAAAGCTAGGAGGGTCTGAGTTCAAGGTTTCAGACTACCGGTCGACATCCGTGACTTGGTGACCTTGGACCTCAATCGCAGCCTGACCAATGAGAAGCTAGCAGCTAGGAGATCTTCACTGTACCGAGCTTTGCTCTGAGTCCCCTCAAGGAACCGGCCCCTAGACCACAAGAAAACGCCTCAGGCCTCACGCCCGACCTAACATCCCACATCCGAATCTTCAGCCTCAAGTCGCAAGTACGCAACAAGCATCCCCAAAGCCACCAAAGCCACCGAAACCCACAGCTCCAAATGCTGGCTTATGCTAGCTTCCGGGCCTGAGGAGCGCCGGCCAGACTGCCTGTCAGGCAAACTCCGGGGCTCCGGAAGCGATTCGTGGGAGAGCCTCTAGAGTCGGCCTATCGCTAGGCGAAGTGTGCGCTCTTTGCAGAGCTCGCCGTCACTCGTCACTCGCCTGGACCTCCTCTGATGTCATGCATATCCGATCCGGAACTCCGATGAGCCCACCGTTATAGGCCAGAAGCATGAGATCCTGCGAAAAGTGCGACAAGACGTGAGCGTGTGTCTCAATCGAGGTGAAGCCTCCAGCAACGTAGCTAGCCAAGAAAGCTATGTTTTCTAACTCGCAGCCCAAACGAATCAATCATGCTCCGCGTCCTTGATGTGGAAGGGATGGTTCACCAAGCCAGTTCCGGACTTGTCACCGATTTCTTTTTTGCTGACCTAGGTGCGAATCTCTTGGTACGACTTCGACTGCCTTTCCTTCTTACAGCTTCGGCTACTGACTGTTCGCCCAACGCACAGTGTGGGGCAGGGAGGGTAGACAGGCCTCAGTTGATCATGGCCAAGCGTTTAAGCAGCTACAGTAGACAATGCCACATAACGTAGCACGGGGATGCACAATGCCTGAATGATGGAGCTTCTGAAAAGAAGGATGCGAGCTCAGCTTCTCGAGCTTAGCGGCTAGCGCAGCTAAGCGGGCCTTGCTGTAGACCACCGTGGTCAGCCTGACCAGGGGGGCAAGTCAAGCAAACAGGTTTGATACCGTCCACTTGACCTAACCCTCGTGTAACCTCTACGGTAGCTGACTCTAGCTCGCGAGCGGTGTGGATGGGCACATGGCTGGTGTTCCCTTTTCTGTTTGTCGCGTAGTTCCATGACGGGCCATGTCCAAGGTACGATCTCGAACCCGGAATCCTAAACCCCGCTAGCACAACCTGCCGAACCCTGATTGTTCTTGCACCCCAGGCACACTAGCTCGAGGATCGGAACACAGGGCAAGAAGAGGCCAAACTCGGCCCAGTACCTTGGACGACATGCCGATCCCGAATGAGGGACGAGCCTGACTAACTCCTCGATGTACGCAAAGGTTTAGGGTTCAGCTGTGCTCTCGCTGGCTCTTTCTTTAACTGCAATCTAACATCAGAAGCAATCAGTGTTGGTGACATCGACGATTGGAAGTTACAAGGTTAGGTGCTAACTACACGTTAGCACCGACGCAACGCAAAACAGTAGGATATGATAAGACATGGCAATGCGGTCGTAAACAGAAACGAAGCGCTGCGGCTTTGCTGAATGTCGTGCACTTCGACAGAGTAGCCAAAATTAAGCTAAGAGCTCTAGACATCAGGACGCAGGGACTAATTAAGCAGGGGTCGCCTCACATCGCCCGCGGCCCTGGCAACCCAGAAGACCAGAAACCTGAAACCGAAAAGAAGCCCCACGGAGCTGTGCAAGCCCCAGCTCACAAGGCTCACAAGTCCACAAGTGGTCACAAGCGCGACAGAGGAGCCAGTGCTCCAGGAGCAGCTCTTGATCCAACTGCATCAAGCTGGAAATCAGCTTAACCTCACTCAAACCCCTGCAAGCGGCTCGCCCTTATAAATCTGCCATTCAAGCTGTATAACACTTTCGAAACGGTGCACGGCACTGCCAGCCCTACCGGCTTGAGAATCTTAAGCGTCTGTGGAGCAGGGTCCTGCTGAAAATAAATCACGGCACGAGGTTCTTGAAATGCTTACCCTTCATGGATTCGTGGACGGGCCCGAAGTAGTCGCTTTTCCTGGCCTCGTCCTGACTGGGGTTTTGGGATGGCCGGGTTTCGCAGCTTCAGGCGGGACTACGAGAGAAGGCGGGAAGCAAACTCTGCCGAATGCCTAGGGGCCTAGTGCCCGGCTCCTTGGGTTTAGGGCGCAGGAAAAGAACTTCGGAGGGTCTCAAAAATTTTCGCATTGAAGCTCCTTGATGAGTGCGATCTGCTTTCTCGCCTCGTCGTCATCCACGTCAGTCTGGCGACCCTGGATCAGGGTACCAGTATCGTGCTTCGCAGGATGTGCGAGGAGGACAGTCCTGGATCACCAAGGAGAGGTGGCTGACCTCCTCCGGGGAGAGATCCTGCAGGCAAGCCCGCACAAACATCAGAGACATGTGCAAAACAACATATGCAACAAAAACTGATGCAAACCGTGAATGCACCCGGCTTGTGGGGGTTTAGTGCCGTGTATTGCCGGTATTGCCCGTAGGTTGGGCTGCCAGTTCGAAGTGGCTGCTGTTTCATGCAGCTTTCGAAAAGGCTGGCTGTGTCCCACGGTAGTTTGAGTTTGATAGACAGGGCCCTGAGCGAGGCTCGAAGCCTGAATCGCAGCCCGGAGCGTGAAATCCATGAGCCCAAGATTCGACATCTCGAGTTTATGCACAGCGCCTCGGGTTCCCTGCCGGGCTGCGAGGTCATCGACGCCAGCTCCACTGTGAGTCCAGTCCTCCACACTAAAGTCTGGGCAGACGGAAGCTTGGGTTCTGGGCCGACTGCCAAACGGGGTTTCCCATGTGTTATCGCTCTGGGGTTAGATTTACACCAGCCCAATTACCTCCTAGTCCAGAGAGGGTCAGCACTGATACTCTTGGAATCTGCTGCATCTTCGGCGCCGAAGTCCGGATGCTTTTGACTCTGACACCCAAACTTGCAGAACCGCCTCTTGCAGAACTTGAACCCGGACACGATGTCGACAACATCCACTCGCTTCCGGATGGTCCTCAACGCACGTTCTGCGATGCGGGCTTTGGATCGATGTGATGCCTAGAAAGATCTATCTTGCGAATTCTAAACCAGCCCCTATGAACAAGTTGAGACAACTTTTCCCTGAAACCCCCACCCGTGTCGCAGAGCCAGGCCATCCCAAAGCTCCCCAACGGTCATGGGTTTCACCTCAGGAATTCTTGCTTTCAGGGCTTCAGGGCCATCAGAGCACATGTGAAGCATGATACCAAGGTCGACAAGCTTGGGACTATGCCCCAGGTGCTTCAATACGCAAGAGCTTTCGAAAATACCTATTTTTGAACAAGAAAACCCGAGGCCGAGACCCTACCAAATGAAGGCTATGCCCCAAATTAGAACTCTGCAGGGGCTCATTGTCTACGAGGTCTTAAGTCTTAAGCATTTGGCAATAATTCTCATCACGACTGTCGACCAACATCATCACGGTCATCATCTCCATCAGCATTACATTCACCTCACCCTGACGGCCGGCAACAGAAATAACGAGAGCGACGATGGTAACGACGACAATGGCAACGACAACCACAACCAGAGCTGCAACAGCAACGGAATGAGAAACCGCCTCCGCTAGCACAAGGCGAGAACGTTTCATCATCACGTGTAATGAAGAGGTTTCTTCCTCGGAGACAGATTCGCTAGAGACTCCGAGTTACCCTATTTGCCATAGGCGACAAAACGCATCTTTCCCTTCGGGTGCGCAGCAGCACCGCAACATTTATGAGGGAGCACAAAAGGTTTATGGTCAGAAAGTATTCTGTCGTTTGTGTCCAATAAGAGGGGATCCAGCAAGGAATCGAGGAGACGCGCAGCATAGTCGTGACAACTCACAACTCCGTTTTGAGAAACCGTCTGATCTTGTTTCTCGTCGACGGCTCAACATGGGATTGCAAACGAACACCTGCGCTTATCGCTCTCTGTCTAGATTCTACGTGCTTGGAAGACATACAGGGGCTGAAACGGCACGTGCAATGCAAAATGTGCACAGCACGCTGTCCAGAGCAAGGCACGAACGCATGGGAATGTGGCGGGACGGATAGTCGTAGCTGAACACACTCGGCACTGCTTCAGACTACACCACGAGCCGAATGCTGTGGCCTGCCAAAATTTCGGTGACCTTGATGACTTCGAGCGATTGGACCGTCTAACCGAGCACGAGACTGGCTCTGTCACAAGGCCGTAATTCATCGAGCTCGGAAGCACCACAACTTGGACTTTGCAGTGTATTTGATGTCCCCTCGAACTGCGACCCCTACCAGTAACCGAATATCACTGCGTCATTTTCGGGGGACCTTGCTTGTGCGGCCTTCCTCTTCATCAAGACAACCTAATCCCGAATCCTTTTCTCCGTAGTGTAAGAACCCCATAGCATTACCTCACTGCTTGAGAGCAACCCAAACCCATGCCGCTTGAGAAAGTGCAACAACAACAACACCGACGACCGACAACAGGTGGATGAGAATGGTGGTTCTGGATTGTCATGTGAAAATGTCGGCAGTCACCAAATCCTGGGTAAGTCACGTGATGCATCCGTCGGCTCTGAAAAAAATTGATTTGGGGTTCTACGCTCAGCCCCATGCCATCAGCAGAAACTGCATAGCGACGTTGCAAGCAAGTGTGGTCAATGCACTGTGGAAGCAACGTAAGGGACAGCGATGGGTGATACACTGCGTCAAAAAACAGCATGCAGGTACACGGAGGTAATGAGTCTCGGCTTCCCCCATGGTGGATGGGTTCGTTGGCACAAGTAGGGTCTGTGCCCCCTGCTGAAGTCAAATCTATGAAGGTACAGCATGAAGACGTGTCCGCAGACAACCCTTAGTTTAGCTGTCAGAGTGCAGCAACAACAACATCGGCAGCAGCAGCAGCACCAGCACCACCACCACAAGCAGCACCAGCAGCAGCAATAGTAGCAACAACAGCAACACCGTCATCATTAATCATCTTCATCATCATCATAAGCAGCAGCTCCAGTCATCATCACAAACAACGTCGTCACTAGCAACATGGTCATAATCCTTTTTATCTTAATCAGGATCACAGTCGTCACGCAGATCAATCGCAGGCAACAGCGCCAGCACCACCCTCTTATCGTTGTCAGTCTGGATCTTCTGGTCACCCTGTGCAGCTTCGCTTTCAGCAAATGATGCTGTGCCATAAGCGCGACTTCAGCACTATCTGCATCATCAGATATCATCAGTAGCGCCTGTCAAAATTCTCAACAATGGCTAGGACATCCCTCGGAGGGGCCAAAAACTTGGCAAAGGGCCAGCCCAAGCTCGCTCCTCCGTGATTCTCGCTTCACCGCCACTTTCTTCCTGGCTGCGCGGCCTGCCGGGCAGGCCCCTTTTTTGTGTGCGGCTGCCCTCACGCAGGCATCTCAAAATGATTTCCATCTCATAGACACTTCAAACCAGGTTTTCAGCAAAGATATTCCAGTGCGTTGGCTTCGAATTCCTTTGCCTTTGCCTTTGCCTTTGCTCCTACAATCCCAACAACACCAACCCGGAAGTGACGATGCCACAAGCGTTTCACGCCAGCACCAACACGATGACAAGACAGACGTTTCTGGGGGAGAATCGCCCAAACATTCTCTTCTCGGTTGCACAATCGGCATGCCGTGTTGGACCGAAGGCCGCCTCGAGCTATCGCCTGGATCTTCATGGCCGCCTGATCCTGCCCGCAGATTCGCAGGGCTCGCACGCTGAAAATGCTCCCCGAGTGCTCGTCGGGAGGCCCTAGATTTTCTCCATGCACCCTTCCAGAGTAGACAGGAGTGAGTCATGAATGAACATGAGTCAAAGCCGCCGTTCGTCTCGTAATGTTCAAGGCTCTCGGGTCAGACGAGATGATCGTGAAGACCGTACCGACGGGTTTTGCTGGTGAAACCACACCCCACGAAAGCCTCATCGGAGATTGCACTGGCGGCATTCGCTGGAACAGTGCCTCGCTCTTGTGGGAATCAACGGTTAGAACGCGCAGAAAGAACTGACACTGCCAGACAGCAAAGTCCGAAGTCCAATATGAATTCCGCGAAGCACTATGCTTCCATGCACCGATCCTCCCCAGAGCCCTAGTTCGATGTCATGCCGCAGTTCCAGCATCCCAACACCAAACCATGTGCCGCTATGTAAATCTTGGGTGCGGGCTTGGCACAGGCAAGATGTTTGTCTAATCGCACAATGCGAGTCTAGTGGTTTTAGATGTCCGTCGTCCCCCAAAAGCATCAGTGGCTTCCGATAACAATCCCGAACATTCCATCTAGCTTTGGCGCCTTGCCTTGCTTCTCGTCGCCAGGTTGCACCAACTGGACCACAAGTCACTTATACTGCACACGTTACATTGCCGACAAGATGTGTGCAGAAGTTCATGCGGCCGATCCACCGCGAGGGATCCCTGCCTTCGAACAACAACACCGCAAGCAACATCCCACATGTGAAGAGGATGCCCCTCAAAGCACGAAAAGTATTTCAGGACTCTCGTGGCCAGGGGACCGAAAAGCCCCAGAGGTGCCACAGCCCAGGCTGCAAACTCCTGAGTTGCGAGAGATGTTCCACGGTCTTCAGTCTTCAATCGATTCCAGATCTGGATTTCTATGTATGAAATGTGAGGACCTTCCGCCAAGAGCATGCGGTCATTGCCACCTAAGACAAAAACGACTTAGAGCGAACATCGTTCTCCAAGAACACAACCACGGGCACCACACCAAAGGGAGGCGAAGGGGAGAATATCATGGAGTGGTCGAAGGGGGTAACGCGGGCGGCTTACGCCCTGAATGATACACAGGGAGATGTCGGCCAAACTTGTGACATGCAGACGGTTGCGGTCAAGCGCGACAGGTTGAAGCTTGAAGTTGCCCTCCATGGCTCGGCAGGCATTCACAGTAACTGCGACTTGAGTGAGACTAGCTGACCAAGATCCCAACCGGCAGGTCTGGAAGCGGGAGCATCATGAGTTGGGCTGAATCTCAGGTACTTGTAGAAGGGCTGTGGGTCCGGAAGGAGGCAAAACCCATTGGCATGCCGGCTGTGCAGGGCTTCAGGGCTTTCGATTCAGGATGGTGTGATTCGGGATATACCCGAGCAGCAACATCACCACTGTGCCAGTGACAGGAGCGGCTGAACGAAAGAGGGCTTGCTTTAGCAGGTGAACTTGCATAGCTTGGGATACTGCGTCTTCCGATGCCAGCTCCAACTTGAATTTAACCACCCGGCCGGTTAAACCGAAAAAACCTTTAAGTTTAAGCCAAGCAAATCCACGGTCGATTTAAGCCGAAAATGTCAAAGGAATTCTGTGCCAAGCTGCATCCATGCTCATGACACCATCCTCCCAGGTCTATGCGGCAAACGACGTATCACACTTATACTTTAGGAACCGAAACGCGGCGACAACACCACTAACCAGATGCGACAGCGCGTCCTTGCTAAGATCCGCATCTGCAAAGATGGAGTCGAGATCGGCAGGGCTGAAGGAAGGGTCCAGGATCTGCAGCACTGCCTTCAGCTCAGCCTGACACAAACTTCAAGGATCCCCGAAATGCAGGGATACCGAGATTTGGAGATCTGTCCAGGAAGCACAACCATCGCAACTCTCACAACCCAAGACGCGACTTCGACATCATGCAACATAAGTTCACTACGCCACTACGCTGCAGGCTTGGGCTTCCCCTCAAACCGGTAAAATCGGGCATCCAACACAAAGAACTTCCGGCGTTGTGTCCTCGCTGATCTTCCCATCGCCGTTGAGGTCGAACTTATGAAAGGCAGCAGTGATTGCTTCTCGGTGACGCTCCACGTCGGCCGCATCGGCCACGTTGGCTTCGGCCATGGCGCTGCCAAAGGCCAAGCACACATTGGCCCAGACAGCGACAGCGGTTAAGGATTTTTGCAGATTCATGTATGTGTTTTTGCAGTTAAGTGTTTGACGACTGGACTTGCTTGTCTTTTCTTTTTTACTGTTGCTATTGCGTGCAGTTGTGACATGTAAATAACCATGGAGAATAATAAGTCTCCGGTGCTTTCTATCCTGACTCAAAGCAAGTGACAACGCCCTACTTCGAGCCGCAGGTGCATGATCGTGCATGACAAGATCTTTTGGCACGTTTAGGATGGGAGGTACCGAGACACAGCAGAAGCACAAGGCTTGCGAAGCGCATTGCGAGGGAGGGCGCACCCGGGACCTGGGCCAAACGTGGCTGGAGATCACCAAGGACCCGTCGCCGTCAATCGAAAGTTCCATGGCCACCTGCAAGCACTTCTCAGAGCCTTCCTCCACACCACAGACCTGTCCAAAAAACCGCCGACAGCCTAAAGCGAGCGTTTTTAATGCGCCTCCTCCCCTTCTGGAGCAAGCACCATCGGTGCAAAGAAGCCGACGCCTGTCAGGTCGACCGAGGCACCTGGCAGCCCCGAGCCCGCCCCAATTCAGGGCAGTGCCAAAAGGACAGAAAAATGGAAAACTGAGATAACTGAGATGAAGCTGGCATGTTACGCAGACCTCTTGCAGCCTGAGGCCGTAAAATGATAGCTCCGCAGTCGGCCGCTTTCTTCGCAGGTGAAGTCTCTTTGTTGCCGGTTCTCTTCCCTGCTGATCCAGCGCAGCTGAGCTGAGGTGTCAAGGCCGGCTTGCTTGCTGAATGGCTTTGATGGGATACCGGCGGGCACGGGATGGTGCACAGTGCTCAGGATACGAGGCCCCCAAGCAAGCATGCAGTATCGACAACTACAGCCGGCAGTCGATATGCCAGTTATTAGTTTCTCGACTTCTTATGAGACGAACCACAGAAAGATGACAAGAAACTAGCAACAAACGTCGGAATAGCGGCACTGGCTGGGGTTAACATAAAGCGTCTACTAGTCGAGGTCGTCATTTGTATATTATACTGCGAGAGGCTTCGACAGAAGAGCGCTCCAGCAGCAATAGCAGGCCAGCAGGGCCCTCGCGTTGTGCAGCAAGACCGGCAACGAAGAATTCCTTATGAGCTAGCACAGTGACCGAGGCATCTGAGCGAGTGTTGCTCACCTCCTGCTTACTTTACAAGTTCGGAAGAGTGCAGCTTTGGAGTGCATGTCGTGGTCAGGTTCTGGGTCCGCATGGCGATAAGTTTTGTATTCGAGAATCTTCTGCGCGATTCAGGCTTGCAGGATGTGCTTGAACGTTCGGGCGGGATGCAGCGCAGCCGACCTGACCCAGAACAGAGATGCATTTTAGGCAGTTGATCAAAATCACCAGCACTATCCAGCACTATAATCACGGTAGAATCATCAGTCTTATTGCCAGTGTCAGCACCGCCACCATCACCAGCACCAGTACCGATGTCAGTGTCAAGGTCGTTTTGGCGACATGGGCTTGGGCAGATGCAAATACTTCCCAGTTGCTCTTTGCAGCTTGTAGACCAAGCAAATGCTGACAAGCTGCCAGAAATGCAGCAGCTGGCACGACGATTTCGCCAAATATGACGTGGTCCTTCAACAGCGCCAAGATCCTGCTTATGCATGGAGCTGTGCAAGTGGACGAGGGTGAGCATGTCGCATGGTCGTGATGCACCTGTGCGGTGGTCCGAGAAATTCTTATCCCTGGGCTCGGGCGGTCCAGCCTGGACTCTGTGACGCGCACCCTGTAGCAGACCTTGCAGCACTGGCAGAGCGAAGACACGACCATCTCCGCTTCTTGTACTCGGAGCCTAGGAGCTTCTACGTTGCTATACCTGCGATTGACACCTGGTGTTTCGAAGTCTTCTTGTCGACATGGACATTGCAGCCTCCGGTACTGTTTGCAGATCGAATGTAGTTGTAGCAACACCGCTTCGAAAGCTCTCAGGCCCAACAAGGCTCGTGTGCTGCCAAAGAGGCAGAAGTGGACAGAGGCCGCAATGTCTCAAGAAAGGGATGACGATGCACCGACCAGCGAAATAGAGCTTTGCCTGGTCTGAGGCTCTTCTGCTCCAGCAACTCGTTTAGACTCTATGACACGGAACACGTCCACCCTGCTGAGACGCGTTTGAAACTGACCTCGCCTCGTGATCGACATTCCGTAGAGCCTCTGTTTGTGTTTCTGGCTTACCGACGTTTTGGGCACCTCGCAAAGCTTGGTGCGTCAGTCAACTCGTAAAATCCCTAGCCAAACCACTCGCTGATCTGAATCTCAAGCAAGAACACGCAAATCCTGCACTCTCTCCGCACCGCACCCGGCAAAGAAGCTATTCCTGCGAAGCCACGAAAGTCAGGCGGCCGCGGCGCAGCCGTCGCTCCGAAAGAGAGCAAGGCGTGAGCCAGGGTGCCTCCTGAGTCACGAGAGCAGAACCAATTTCGTAGCTGCCGAAGGCTCCAGAAGGCCCGGACCGAATCCGAAAGATGAGACCCCTCCGCAGCGGTCAGCCTGGCAAAAGATGAGATCAAGAGGCTCCCCGTAGTCTCCTCCAATACCATTGCAAACACCGAACCGAGAGATGGGGAGCAATGAAAAATCGCAGTGGGGAACTGCCAGAGGTGGCTGATCTGAACCGGCCCCTAAGTTGGCCTTGGCGTCCAACGGACAGGCAGTCGCCGACACCTCACCCGAGAGAAGCGAGTGGCAGCATGGGGTCAAGTTTGACATCTTTCAACTGCTTGTCTTCGGAGAAGTTCCTTCATCGGAATTCTGCGAGGGCACGCTGCTTGGAGAATCGTTGCTTTCGTGGATAGGAATACGACGTGTCCGGAGACGTTTGCATGCCACGGCGCGGAGCAGGGGTTGGGCGATTCTGACACACTGCAACCGAGGCTTCAGGGACGGACATTTTGGGGGCTTACCCTCATGCCAGAAACTCGGAGCTGAAACAAACATACCAAACATGTGGCTGGACTGAAAACGGCTCCTAAAATTGAAATTTTCAGCTGGCAGGACTGCAGGTGTTCGGACAAGGGCTTTGAGACGTAGAGTGTCGACATCTGTAGGTCTTAGGCTCACCCACGGCGTAAGACCTGAGGCCGAACTCAAGTTCGCCCTGGCGAAAAAGGGCGGTAATTCCAGCGTTTACGCTTGGGTAGTCCGGGCGCTTGCAATGAAGATAATCTGCTGGATCAAAGACACGAGCTAGTTACTGTTCTGATTAATGAAAACAGCAACTGAAGAAGAAGAAGAATGCCAACAAGAGGAATGGTCGTAAATTTCAACCTGTGCCCTTCAAGCACAAAATGAGATTCCAAAAGCAGAAACGCATTGATTCTGCTACTACTGCTCATGGCTTTGGATTTGGTCTGGGGCTACCCTCGGTCTGACCAAAACCTTTGACCTCGGCATTTGGAAGGTTACGCCTTAGAACACTGGGAACCGAAAATCTTCCACCCCATTACCAATGCATCACGGCTGGATGCAGCTCCATCTCAGCTCGAGCTCTGCCGTACCCCACTTCTTCAGGCTTGCAGAGTTGGGGAGTTTCTTTTCTGTCGGAGCTCGGATCACTTGGAGGCTTGTGGCTTTTATGTCGGACCCTTCCAGGCCAAGTCCTGCATCTGAACCCCGTAACCCCGGCAAAGACGCCACACTCTGCACAGCCCGATTACGGTGGCATCTCCTTGCTGCCCTGCGGCGACCTCGGTGGCGAGGGCCAGCGAAGTTGGAGTCGACACCTGGCAGCCGAGGCTGAGGTCACAGGGCACCACTTGCGAGGCCCCAGCCTGGCGGAGATGCGCCAGAGGGCTCTGGGCCAGGAGCCCATGAAGACCTTTGAGGCTGCGGCTGCTGCGGCTGCTTGACTCCCGCTTGGACACCGTGACACTGCCGCTTTGCAGGCGCCTGCAAGGAGCCGTGCCAGGCCCGCGAGCCCCGCCGCACCCTCGCTGTGGCCAAGGCCTTGGACGCAAAAAGCACCTCAAAATGCTCAAACTCTACCCTTCTGTAGCAACAAATGCCCGATGGCCGCAGCTCAGGGGCAGGTTTTGCCAGCACCAAGCAGAAGTAGAGCGGACCGTCCTCGCTCAACCAGTGTACGTACTCGTGCATCCCTCCATTGATCCATTCACCGTCTCCCTATCTACTCAACTGCCTACATAGCCATCTGGCTAGGTAAGGAGTACCTACGACAGCAGGGCGAATGACTTGGCTGAAAAAACAGTCGGGCCACCAGTCGGGCCCACCCACCAGGGCAACTCCTACCACAGGGCCTACACAAAGCAAGCGGAGGCTTGAAGTGCGAGGTATGCCATGGCGCTTATGGAAGTAGCACAAACTTATGGGGGCGGGAATGCTCATAAAATCCCTGGAAGGGGATTCTGCAAACGGGAAGGAGCACCGAGCCGTCGATGTGCGAGTTGCCGGTACTTGTGAGCCAGGTTAAAACATAGAGGCTCGATCTTGTCACCATGTCAAACAGGATGGCCGGAATAAGCCAGTTTGGATCTTATGAATGCTCATAGTCATATGCCTGTTGTAACGAACCTGCACATCAGCAGTGCTCTTCCGCTTCGGGCAAAAACGGCAAGACCTGCAAGACATAGGAACATAGGAAAATGAACGATGAATTCAGCATTGTAAAAGGCGGCCAGCGCGGGGAGGGTGAACCAAAGTTGCTTAAGTACTCCTCCGTGTGAACCAGTGGAACCACTCTAGCTGAGTTGAGGGTTTCCATAATTGTGCCTTTCGCTGAAATGGCCTCGATATTGGATGTACCGAAATTGGCCGGGTGTAAAGGACAGAACTAGAAACGGTAATACATGATAATAATCGAACTGATGTGAGGTCTCTTTCTCTTGCTGTCGGAGCCTATAGGCACGTCCGAAGCTAGACCGATTGCCAGCAGCCTCCTGGAGTCAGGTCTTGCCGAGTGTAGCTAGTGGAGATAGTGTCAC